GGAGCAGTCTGAGCCCGACGATGAGGCCGGGGACTGGAGCCGAGCGTGGAGGCCTCATGGTGAGTGAAATGGAGAGCCAACCTCCCTCGCGGGGTCCCGGGGACGGGGAGCGGAGATTGTCCGGCTCAAACCTGTGCTCCAGTTCTTGGGTCTCTGCTGACGGCTTCCTGAGGAGACGGCCCTCGGTAAGGGATCGGCTGGGTAGGGAAAAGCGGCACAATGAAAAACCGAGTCAGAGAAACAGGAAGCTTTCTCCAAAAGGAGAAGAGTGTACCAGGAAGAGCTCCAGATGGTGGGCTGCGTCCCAAGGGAGAGGGATGGAGGGCGGGAATGCACAAAGACGGATGTGGGACCTTGGACGTTCCAGCGGTCTTGGCCTAGACAGAGATACCTTAGGAAGGTGCTGGGCCCCGGGCGCGCTGTGCATCCGAGAGCCCTAGGCCTCTTTTATAGTGGGGAACCGTAAGTCTGCAGGACTTCATAGAGAAGCTGCCATAGTTTGTTTTCTCCGGAGAGTGGTGGCGGTGGGTTTGTTTGCAGGGGTGGGGATTCTGTTGGGAGAATTGGCAGCAGATACTTAGTTTCAGGCCAGGAACAATGAACATATATATATGTGTATGTACACGTATAGATATGTAATATTTTAAGTTCTCTTAAACGGGTCAATTTGTTATTTGCATTTAGTTTCTGGGACAGAATGACAGTCTGATACTTTAACTATATTAGAATATTTGACTTAGGAACTAGTATATTTGTTTCTTAATGAAGTACTCTTGGGTACCCACATTCTGTTTTATGACAAAACCTCATCCAAATTAATGTATTTTTAAGTAACATAAGCTGGTTATATGTATAAAGGGGACAAAGTTGTGTTCACAGTAACAATTTTTAAGTTGGAATTCAATACATAGCCACCAAGTGTAGACAGTCATTTAGCAGTTGGTTAAATCACCGGGAAGGGTGCTGTAATCCTATAATGGATTTAACTTTTCCCTGTTTTGTTAATTTTCAGGCTCTTTAAAATAATCACTAGTGTATTTTAAGGTTACTATTGGTATATGCTAGTCTAATAATTTAATCACACTTTGAAATAATATTGTGCCTTACAGGTTGATTTTTTTTTTTTAAGTCACATTTTTAAGAAACAATCCTGTGTCTTCCTCACTTTTCATTTTTCATTGTTTTTCAGATGGGGCATCCTGGCATGCATTATGCACCAATGGGAATGCACCCTATGGGTCAGAGAGCAAACATGCCTCCTGTACCTCATGGAATGATGCCACAGATGATGCCCCCTATGGGAGGGCCTCCAATGGGACAAGTAAGAATATGTTTTGTACTTTGTTTATTTTTGTTTTATTGTGTCCAGATTTTTAAATGTAGGCCAGTGCTGTACTTCTAGCTGTTTAAGGGTTAGTTTATATCCATATGTTTTCAAACAAGACAAAATGTTGATCATGACTGTAACCAAATTTTGAATATAGTAAGACTTTTATAAAAAATTTACTCATTTCCTCAACAAAATTAATATTTAAAGTGTCTTTAAGCTGGGCGTAGTGGCACACACCTTTAATTCCAGCACTCAGGAGGCAGAGGGAGATATCTGAATTCCTGACCAGCATAGTCTACAGTGGAAGTTCCAGGGCAGCCAAGATGACACAGAAACACTATCTCAAAAAAAGTCTTTAAAGTGACATTATACATCTAGGCTCTTTAACTTAGTGACTTTTTCCAGGCATGTTGATTGTTAATGATTGAGGGGTAATATATAATATATGTATGTATGTATGTATGTATGTGTATATACACGTATATATATTATATATATATATATATATATTACTGTGTAAATGCTTAGTAGCATCAGAAAAATAGTAATTACTTGGGATTTTCATTTAGAATGAATTTTGTTCTTGGAATATCTTCCTCTTGTTGGGTGTGGAGGGATTTTATGCTCTATTACTAATTCTTCCCTGGACAGTGCCAAATAGGTAGCTCATTTCCTACTTAATCTTTAAAACGATTATTGCTTCCGCACTCCTACTTGTGAGTTGCCCCTTGCATCTCTAACACAAACTGTAAATGGACATTTTGTGGAAGTGATGTGGATGAAAAGATTTTAGCTGACTCTGATTCTGGTAGGCAAAATTTCTATTTGTAAGTTAGAAGTGTTCAAGAAAGGCAAGAGCTTCAGTTTCATGAACAGTTGTGTCCTATGGAAGGTTTTATAATACAGAGATCCTTGGGCGGGTTGGGTTATTCCATTTGAATGTCTTAGTAAGTCATGAAAACCGGGTAACAAAATAATTTTGAAAACCAGTTGTATGTTTTCTTTTGCTAATGAGTGCTGTTGACTTTGATAATGGCTTAAGCAATGAAGACTAAAGTTATTGGTGAAATTGCAGTGGAAACAGGAGCTTGTCGTGTTTCTCTTCTTTTACTTTAAGAGTAGAATGGCTTGAGTGGTTTTCTTTTATATTTGGAATACAGCCCTTAATTTTGTATAAATTTTTTTTTCAAAGGCACCAGACTGAAAAGATTCTGCCTACAGGAGTTCCTTATATAAAAGATTCTTTTGCTCTGTTACTCTAGAATAACAGTACTTTAAGCTCCCTAGGAGATGCAGAGACAACTCTAATTCCCCTTCTGTACCTTTCATCTCAAAGCAGCACAAAGCCCTTCTTGTTTTCTTGGTAGAGCTGCTCTAACTAGATAATGAGCTTTAAAAAAAATATTTATTCTTTAAATGCTCTGGTTCTTATTTAAAATTAGTTTCTTTCCACAGAAAGATAAAATAAAACAATTTGCTACTGCCAGATGCTTCTCTCTTTTCTGGGGCCTTCTGTTTCCATTGGGCCAGTCAAGGTAAGTTTTGCAAGGGGTTGACCTGCTTACCCTTGCTGTAATGGTGCTGTTGCACTAGCAAACCCGAGATACCAGCTAGTCATTTTCAGAACAAGGCAGATTTTATTTTTGAAGTAATTGGCATAAGCTGGTCACAGTTTGTTTTATGGCCCCTTCTCTTTAGCTGTGCCAGTGACTGCCTTCCTAATAAGTTTACTTGCTACTCATATACTTCAGATATTCTGAATTTTGCTTCATGGTTTTCTACTACTTTTTTTTTTCTGGTCTAATATGTTTATGCACCTTTAAGTATACCTGACTATTTAAATGTTTAGAATTCTTTCTCCCTCTGTTGGTCCCTTGAGGATTATGAATGAATACTTTAGGGTACTAGCTCTGAAAGTCTCAAGGAATAGTCATTGTTTTCTCAAGATCATTTTCTAGTACCTGCCCCCGTCCTACCTAACAAATATGGGCCCTAACATTTGATAAAACTAGTTAACCTTTTTTCAGCTTTATGAAACTGGGAAAGCATGATAAGCTGAATCCTTAAGGACTCTAGGGTTCTTTCTTAAAGCTCTGTGAACTTTCTCTTAAAGGTGAACCAATCATTTTCCTACATTTCCTGTTAGCATGTGCTCAGAATTATTAATAAACAGTAATTGTAATGAAGATAATTGAGGTGCCTGTATCATTCATGGCAGTGGATATTTGTTTTTGCCATCCATCTTTTTAAAAGTTTATTAACTTTTTAGATTTTGGGACTGAAAACTATATAATCTTCCGCGTTCATTGTTTCAACTAACTGTAGTACGTGAAAAATAAATTATATTTTTCTAGAATACAGACTTTGCCTTGTTGTATTCCCTATTCAACACATGAAAAACAACTGTATATTTACCTATGTATAGAGCATGTATTAGGTATTATAAGTAATCTAGAGATGATTTAAATTACATAGGATGTCCATAGGTTATATGCATATATTATGACATTTTGTTATATTACCATCTGGATTTTGACGTGTACCAAGGTCCTGGAACAGATCAGACTTTTGTCAGGTATCTGCTATGTTGACCATGTCTAAGTTATCTTGCTTAGACCAGCTGAAGACTAAAATAGGAAGCAGTCTGCACTTGCTGAATGACTGTTGTCTTTGAAATGTTATTGAATATGACAAGAAATTTCAGTGCTTGTTTATAAAACAACATGAAGACTAGACAGTATTGATCCAGGGTAAACTGCAGCTAGTCACTTCAAGAAGTGATATGTTCAGGGCTTTCTCCCCTCAGTCTATAAGATAAACTAGAATTTCATTTTCTCCAGTTCAGACTGAGTCTATTAATAAATACCTAGAAATAGCAAATGTAACTTAATCATAATATCTTTCAAATT